GACAAGTATCTGCAGGCATTACACCATGAATACTGCAAATGAAACTCCAGGTCTTGTTCATAGCATCTTCTGCCAATTTTCTCTACAGTCTGTTTTGGCAGTTTGAGAGACCACCTTACATTTGAGCAAGTAAACTGGTTGATCAACTGTGCCAGTACATTCAAAAAAGGAGCTATGTCTCAGTATCTGTTAGGGCCAGTTTCTAACTACAGATGTGCAGAAGTACACAAGTACAGTAGTAATATGACATTAATTCCTCCTTTGGTTTTATATATATATATATATATATACACATACACACACACATACACATACATATATATATATGCATATACATTTGTACCACATCTGAGGCCATGCCCAATTCTTTTTCTTCATGTCTTTTTTCCAAAAAAAAAAAATGTTTGGTCCTCCATCACCTCCCTTGATGCTGTATAAATTCAACTGAAGGCAGTTAACCCTTAACATAAAAAAAAATAAATAAAATTAAAGCATGCAACATTTTAAAATCAAAGACACTGAATATGTAGCATTGTAGCCTCTCATATTCAAATTCACATGCTGCCTTTAAGAATGTTACAAGCTTTTCATTTGCAAAATTCTATTGAATATCATCACAACATATATACCTAAGAAAAATGGAGTTTTGCATTACAATTCAATTGTATTTGAATGTAATGCTTGAAATTATTTTCATACAAATAATCAAAGAGTTCTGTTAATTTACTCTTTGGAATTAGGGTGTCTAAATAAAACTAGCTGGCTGTATTTGCAGCTTTAACAAAATCAACTGTACTTAGGTTCACTAACATCAGTGCAGAGCTCATCTCCTTCTACATAGAGGAATGATAAAATTCTTCTCTTTGATAAGGATGTTCCTTCCTCATATAAGGTCTTAACCAAAGTGGGATACCTTAGAAATATGCTTTGTAAACCAAATCTGATCCGTTTTCTTATTTTCCTTTTTTACCCTAAGGTACAGTTCCCATTTTACATATAATTTATACCTGCTGGAAATGGAGTCACTTACATATAACGGAATTGCAAGACCAAATTTTGCAAATTTTGCAATCTTCCTCATATGGAAAAAGGGCACAGATGTAAGTTGCGACTTGCTCCCACATGATTTAAGGTCATATTAGTCATGAAAGCAGAAGTAAGAAATGCTGCTCAGTGTAATGAGGACAACCCCTATGAAGGCTTCCATGTACCCTTCCAGTCACACAATCTAACAAAACTGCTATTCAAGAACTAAGCCTGTATTTTAGTGAAAGCTTCACACCACTTCAACTTCTACGCACCTATGCTTTGCTATAAAATTTGCAGAGATTTACCAGGAATAGATTTAAGATTTTATCACAAAGGATAAAACATGCTTCAAACCATACAGCTAGACATAAAAGTATAATAAGTTGCAGCTCATTGTAGTGAACTGTTTTAAGTGTTTAATTTCCCCAAAGGAAAGATTATTAGATTGAGCTCCTACTTCTTCATTTAGCCATGTGTTATGAGAGATCAATAAATAGATTTTTGCCATCTTTAATTATTCTGTTCTTTTACCACCTTAACCTGGAAGATCAGTTTACAGTTAGCCTAATGGCAAAATCACCTATCAAAATACGTTTTGTTTTGATCTTGAGAACACTTGCATTCATAATGAAAATCTTCTCTCTCAAAGTTCTAAATAGACAAATAATACCACAAGGTTTTAGCAAAGTTAACACACTTCTCTACATGAACAGCATAAGTTTTGTTTGTATTAACACGCCAACATTTTGTTTGTATTCAGTGCCAAGAAACTTCATTTGCAGCAGAAGTGATGAAAACCTTATATTTCAAATAATTGGCAAAAAAGAAAACAAACAGTAAGCTATAAGCATTTTCACATACATTAATTAATATAATTTTAAAATGCCTGGTCAGCCATAGAAAGGAAGTCCTACAAACCCATCAGTAAAAAAAGCTGCTTAGTTCATGTAGCATTCTCTACATCAATCAAGACTAGCGTGCTTGTATGCCTGGCTTACACCTCTCAAGCTAGCTCAGTACTAAGCTGCAACAGCTGTAGATTGCAGTAGCTGATCCTGAAAGTCCCAGAGAGGCTTTGTGATTCTAACAAGCATGCTATACATCCACATAATAAGGCTTCTAATGCTAAAAAGAATAAGGAACATGAGAGTACATTTCTTTCTTTTCCAAGAAATCCCATTCTGTTTCCGATACATCCACCATGCTATGAAACAAATTCCATTAGTTTGGGCTAAGTCTTCAGAAGTAATATTGCTGGTGGCAAAATAGCAACTGAACTCCAACCTCCCTCCATCAGTCCACTCTCCCTTCACTCCCCCTGCTCTCTTCTCTCTCATAGGGTTTATACTGATAGCATAAGATACTCTTTCAATGATCAGAGCACTGTGTTAGTTTTAATCTACCTTTCAAAACTTATTATCACGGCAAAAGACAATATTTTAAAAAGATTTCCACTAGATAATACCTATCATTGTTATTTATTTTCATCAAAAATAGCTATGCACTTACCCCTTCAAGGAAGCGGCTACAACTTTGTTTCAAATAGGGTCTTTGAGAACTTTCTAATACTTCAAGATGAAATCAAAACAAAACTGAAAATTAAATATATGTACATATTAGCATTCTTCCGTTTTGCTACATAGAAAAAGTAAAGTTTTTTTTAAAATTATTAAAGTGCTTACCTCTCAATGTCTTGTACCCTTATTTAGATCCTTAGTCCATGATGTATATGTTTATCTGCTAAATATAAAAACTACTCTGTGTGGAATGCATTTCTATAATACAGGAGTTTGCTAATTAGATTCAAGTTGTGGCCAATGCAGAATTACCTTTCTAGGATATAAGGCTATAAATCAAATGAGATTAATTTAAAGAAATGTAAACAAAATGCCATTTCCTTTATAATGCATATTTTTAAATTCCATTTTATCTAGATTAATTATTTCTAATAAAGTCCATGACTTAAAATCTGTGTCATCTAAACACATCAAGAAAATAAAACAACTCTGTGTTAAGACTGGGAGGAACAAATTTGCATTGTTAAGGCTGGGGTAGTTAGGAATGATGAGAGAAGAGCTGTATATTGAAACAGGAAAAAAAAAATAAAACAGTTTTCACCTTTAGAAAGATATTTCTGGGTCTGGAAAAGCAGATAAATATATTTGGCTCTAGTGCCAGACAGCATCATACATTACGCAATAAGGTCTTCTGCTAGAAGAGTAAACCCCTTATCCCAATCCAAAATAGAGCTGGGGAGAAAACTACTTCCCATCTCACAAAACATCCTGAATTTGACTCTAATTTTCCAGGATTTCAACAATGGAAAACCCAACTTGCTTTGAACAAGAGAAAGAGTATGTAAATAAGCTGTGTCATACCATCCTACGTGCTGATGTTGAGGGTACTAGGCTTGGAAGATGTAAATTAAATTTCTTGGTTCGCCGATATCCAAAAATGAATACCACAGGCCTGTTGTAGGGTACCCCACTCGACCTTTCCTCACGGAACAGTTCCACACAAGGGATTAAGCATTTGAGCACTGCTCGTTTCATCTCCTTGATGTGTTCCAGAACTACCCCACACAAAAGAATCACCCCTGCTCTAAGAAGCTATGTAGGTCATGTGAGGACCTAAGTTAAGTTCCTGGTCTGAATAAAAATGCAGCTGATTAAAACCAGGGACTCACTGAAGTTTCCCAGATCCCAAACTGAAGTCTTAATGGCCATGCGTTTTGGCACTCTGAAGGATGCATCCTTCTGTCTCACAGATCAGAAATTTCAGTTGGCCCCAACATTAACATAAGATATGAGCTTATCTACCCAGGATCATCTGCACAGCTCTTAAATTAACTGTCCTCCCAAATGGCCAAGGCTCCAGGAAATGAAACCTCAATTTTTCACCTCAAAGACCAGCTCTGGACATCAAAATCTTAAGTGGTGAAGATTTTAACAGGAATGGATTATCTCCATTGCTGTGACAAATTCCTATTATTTAGTAACTTTTTTCCAATAATTTCCCAACTTGAAAAAATATTTTTCTTTCAAGTAAAAAAAAAAAAAAACACCCTGATTTTCATTTTCTTCTGATCATAATTGCAGTCTGACACTATGCTAGTATTTTATCACTAAAAATGATTTTTTTTTAATTGTAAAAAAAAAAAAAAAAAAAAAAAAAACCACACAGAGAAAAGTTCTAGTAGAAGCAGAATAACCAGGAGAGAAGTTAGGAAAAACCAGTGGTATGTATACACACTGGTTGTTACCTGCTTTACATGTATCATAAATTGTACTATGTGTCACCCAATCCTCCATCATGTAGAGAGTTAAGTGTGTTACAAATGAATACAACATAAATAACTTTTTCAATGAAAATGTAACTCCAGAAAAGTACTATTTTTAAATATCCCACTCTTGAAAGCATTCTGCATTCACTTTTCAAGCTAGTGAAACACATGGTAAAGGTTTTCTATTTGCCATTCCCTTCTCAACGTGTGAATACTGTCTTGCATGTATTTTCTTTTAAAACTCAGTATTAAAGTTTTATTTGATTTTTGAAAGCTTCATCTTGCAGGTTAAGATTCAACAGCCCCTGCTAAAAAAAAAAAAATCACTTGATAGTTTATGTTATTTATATAACAAATCTAAATCAAAGGTACAAAAGTATTCTAATTTCCCAGCAGATTATTGAAAAAAAGAAAAAAAGAAAAAAGAAAAAAAAATGTAAAAGCATTTTGTTATATAAAGTACTATGAGCACACTTGATGAAATCTGGAGAGGTGAACACACATTGCCAATGTGCTGTACAAGTCCATGGCATAAAGTTGCACACACTTCAAAATCTAGCATACACAAATCACTCACCAAAATCAGATTCTTCACTCTCACAGACTGCATCAGAAACATCAACAAACACCCCTTTTCTTAGACACACTATTTCTCCACCTCCAACCACTTGAGGTGGCAGTCACATACATTACTGATTTGTTCCTGAGTCCTTTTCAGTCTTTGTAACTCGGGCGTATCGGTCACAATACTGAACCCTCTTCCTTTGCTTTCTTCAAAGTCTCTTTTGTATTTTACCTACAGAATAGAAAATACAGAAGAACAGGGTTGTTTTTATTTTCCACAGAGTGTGCCCCTAGCAAGTGGTATTTTTTTCTTTCTGTAAATAAAAGTGAAAGGTTTTAAGCCCTTAAAGGGAAAGCCTTCCCTCATCCAAGAGCAGAGACAGACAGCAACTGGGCAGAATTTCCCACTGCAATTGCCCCCGAAGGTTCCAAGAAGGCTCACCTCCACACGTACTGCAACTACAGAGAGATCTCTCATTGTCAAAGCAGTAACTACAGAACATTGGATACCAACATATCACCAAGCAAGCACTACTTTCATATACCAAAAAATAGCTATCGCTAAATTTGTAGTCTTTTGCTGTACGGTTTCACATTTCAGACTCTCTTCATAACGAGTTCACCATCTTCTTCCCCAGTTGAAACATAAATCACATGTAAAAAAAAATTGCTGCATGAAAAGAATATTTAGGAGATTGCAAAGTCAAACATTCATAAGTTAGGAAATAATTGCCAGTACAAGCTCAATTTGTCCCTCTAACAAATATGATGGGATATTGTCTTTAATCAGGTAATCATATTTTATCCTTTGACAGGTCCCCTTTTTTATTCTGTCCACAGCAGAGATCATTCTATACACGTATCATTTTTTGTACCAGACCAATCAAATCCTACTATCAAGGTAGGGATATTACTTTCTTCCGGAGTTTTTCTACATCTTTCATCAGTCATTAATCTTCTTATTGCATCTTGGAAAGTAGGAATGAAATTATCTGCACTTCACCTAGAGCAACAATAGTCTCAGGGTATCCAATTTCAGAATCCTAAAACTTGAATAAGTTCAAGTTAGAGACCTAAATTACGTGTATGACCATCCAGCATTTCTGCAAATCAGTCCCAGACATCTCAATTTCTACATAAAGAAACAAGATAAAATATAAAAAATCTTGAACAGGTGTTGAGTCACAAGGAAAAAAACTGTAACAAAGAGTTGAAACACCTTTCTCTCCATGGCTGAATTCAACTACTTTATCCATAACTGTTTCTTTGCTTCCTATGCCTCGTGCTTTATTTGCTACAGACAAATTTTGCAACACTTGGCAGAACAGTTCCATGAATAGCAGTGTTCTTTATGCAACTGATACCCACAATACCTGTTGCTTATGCACCAAACCCTTTATCCAGGGTTGGCTTCATCCTATTTGACCAGCTAGCGTTTAAGGTTATGATGGTGATACACAGGGAAAAAATACTGCTAGATCACAAAACTAAAGTTTCAGAAGGCTATATAATACCTGTCATGTCCATCCTAATTTAGAAGTGCATTTTCACCACCTCTGTATTTTCTCTAAATGCAGTTTTAATGTATATAATTTTCATTAGGGAAAATTCTAGCATGGCATTCTTGAGAATCAAGTTTATACAAAGGCCTATCATACACAAATCCATACAGCACTGCAGTAAATGATCACAAAGGAACATTTTTCCTGTGTTCTACCTCCACAGCATGGGATTCCAACCTTTTGGCTTGCCTAGACTGCATGAAAAGGAATTATTGTGGACCACATATAAAACATATGGCACAGATGATGTACATAACAAAATGTTTTTAATATATATTTCTATTAAAACACTTTTTTTAAAAGCAATGAAAACACAAAACATGACTGACATTTTGAGTTGAATATCTGCATGGATATACGCTCCATTTGAAAATTCACAGGTAATGTAGTTACATGCTGACTCAAAATGCATTTGCAAATACACCAAAAAAAAAATTGATTTTTTCAGCAATCTTCAAACCTGTTCTCAAATTCCTTAATCAAAACACCAAACACAGCTGCATATATTTCACTGTTATTGTGTCTAGCCAGTGTACCAACGTGCACAAAATCATTTGCCATTATGGGAGCCATCATGCCCTGCACACTGCCTGTGTCCCGAGTGCAGCCTGGCAGTGCTGATGGCACACAGTGTGTGGCTGTTGTCCATGGGGGTGCTTCCATGGCTGGGCCAGGCCACTCAGCAGGGCAGAGCTGCCACCATAACGGCACAGGGCAGGGCTGGCTGCAGGGTGGCACTGGCCGCATGTGGCCCACAGGTTGGACGTGCCAGGAATTTTAAATAAGGGAATAAAGTCCATGCTAGTATCTGTCTTGGAAAAAGTTGAACATTTTGCATAAAAATTCCAGTTTGGGCCTTAGATAGAACTGCTGACATGGAAACGTTCAGTCTTATTGCCTAAAGTTCAGCAGAATTACAAGCAACTGAAAACACCACCCTACAACTGGAAATGGGCTCAGACCTACCTGTAAGGGAGGCTACCTATTGTATAAAAAGACATTTCCTGTTATTTGTTCTAAGTGTACCAGCTTTAATTTCAAAGGATCTTTATTCATCTTGTAAAGCAACACCAAAAGAATTTGGAGAGAATTGTGTCTAGCCAGTGTACCAACGTGCACAAAATTTGCCATTACAGGAGCCATCATGCCCTGCACACTGCCTGTGTCCCGGCTGCAGGCTGGCAGTGCTGATGGCACACAAACTTAATTTAGTTCTTTGGATTAAAAGTATTCCTCTCTTAAGAAATCGCTTCATAAGAGTAAGGTTAAATATATCCTTCAGAACAGGTACTCTGAAATCATTAAAATGTAAATTATTTAAGATGTTGGCAGAGTTAATATACACATAATCGGGATCTTACCATCTAACTTCAAAATGTGGTATTGAGTTACAAAAGTCTCAGAGAAACATAACGGTTCATTAAGACCACAGTTCAGTGAAATATAATTACTAAAACCAGTGGTTATTGTAAATTCAAAAGAACAAAACCTCTTTAAGTTTCCAGAAAATATCAAATAATAAAAACGTCATCAGTCATTTAGAACTTGGATCCAGAAATTCCTAATCAGTATCAAAAGTAGATATAGATGAAGAGAGGAAAAAACTTTTTTGTTCAAATTTTAGTTAATTTAAAAAGTACTATTTTTAATAAAGAAAAAATAGGTGTACCTAAAAAACAGATTTTTGTTACCCTAAAATCAGGGACAAAAATTTTAATTGCTCTAAGCCAATTTTAAGTAGAAAGGAATATCCTGTATAGGAGCTGTAAATATTACTATAATTAGTGATGTAAATAATTGGAACTGTTGAAATTCAGTTTTGAAACGGACTGTAATCTCTGATGATAGTATCATAAATCCAGCCATTTCCTACAGAGCTGCATTTTAGCAACTCATCACCAAACCCCCAGCCAGTGATTTTATAATGCCTCCCTCATGACTCCAAATCTCAGTGCCGTCTCACAAATGCAGAGTACCTTCAGCACTGAGTGCCCTGAAAAATTGATCCTCTGAGAAACTATGTGTGGCATAAACATTAGAAATAAAACAGTAATAAATCACCATGAATGAAAAGGTTTAAAGTGAAAATACTTCATGAGAAATAACTCTGCACAGACCCACAGTGAAAGGACTAAGCGATCCAGCAGACCTTTAACAAATCTAACTTAAATCCATGACTTCGGCAAGATATCTTTGAAAAGCCCAAAGATGGGACAGTATATAAGTCCTTTTATGAAGTCAGCATGAAGCAGCCAACGACACAAGGATTGCCTTCTTACTTTGCACATAAAATCTCATGTTGGTGAAAGTGCTTCCCCCTATTCTGAAAGTATATCCAGTTTTTGGCAGCAGAGTCACCTATTAAAAAAAAACAAGATTATTTTTCCCTGGGAAATGTACATATAAATGTACATATGTAAATATAAATGATGCCTCAAAGATTGTCCCAGTCTTGAAAGAAGGAAGAGCAAAACTAATTTAGGTTAGGGTGGCTGAGGACCCTTTTTTGAGGGGTGGCTCCTCCATGCTATGTTGCTTGCAAAAGAGACAGGCTGCCCATTGGGCACAAGAATTGCCAAGGCACACCAGTTATACGGAGAATTGCAAGTGGCCCAGATACACCTGTCAGAGGACAGAAACCCCATAGAGGTGAATCTACCATGAGATGATGAACTGATGGAAGTGGATCTACCTGCGACAGACATGAACAGACAATGTCCCCAGCATGCTTTGGCTCTCTGTCACAACATCATGGCAATAGTACCAGTTCCCTATCTGCATCACAGCCTCTGCCCTCACCATTAAGTTGGACACAACAAACAACATCCTGATAAGTCCTTCCCATTCTCCAGGCCTCATGAATCACAGAATCATAATCATAGAGTAATCATAGTCATTAAGGAAAAGACAACTAAGATCTTCTAGTCCAACCATTGACCCATCCCCACCCTGACCACTAAACCATGTCCTTAAGTGCCACATCTACACATTTCTTGGAAACTTCAGTGACAGTGACTTCACCACTTCCCTAAACAGCCTGTTCCAATGCCTTACCAATCTTTTTGTGAATAAATTTTTCCTAATACCCAACCTAACAACATGAACCTCCCCCATCACATATTAAGATCATTACTTCTTGTCCTAAGTGAAGAAATGATGCATCTTCTTCATGGAGCAGGTTCATGTTGAGTGTTAGGAGAAGGTTCTTCACCAGAGAGTGGTTGGACATTGGAACAGGCTCCCCAGAGAAACAATCACAGCACCTAACGTGACTGAGTTCAAGAAGTATTTGGACAACACTCTCAGAAATAAGGTTTTGATTTTGGGAGGTCCTGTATGGAGCCAGAAATTGATCATTTTTGTGCGTCTCTTCAAACTCAGGATATTCTATGGTTCTGTGATTACTTTCTTGCGCTTTTTGGCACCTACCCTTAGTCCAGAATCATTTACAATAACAGAAGCACATATCTACTCTGAAACCATTTAACAAACAAAAAAGGCAGTGCAGGAATTCAGTATGGTGGATCCTCATGCTCTCACCATCACTGGAACTGTCAATAATGCAGATCTCAGCAGCTCTTCAATCCACCAATACATCAAAAGATTATTCAGTCACTCCAAGCAAATATTAAATCAAAAAAAAAAAAAACTAGGCAGTGTCAGGGTTCAT